GATCTTTTTTAATTCATGGTAAATAAAATTTTCAAATCGAATCGAATAATCATTTTGTTATTCATACGAATACGAATAATAAATTATTCAATTCGATTCGTATTTTTGTAGGTATATCTGGAAGTGAAGGGAGGGGAAATTTTCCAGAATTAAGGCAAGGGGGTGAACCATGTTTCCTAAATGTGCCATTTAAATTATTTTTAAACACACATGACAACAAGCGTTTACCATGATATAACTTAAGATGGGGGAAAAAAATAAAAAGATATTAACAAGGGTAAAGGAATAAAAAGGAAAAAACAAAATTTTAGGAAGGGGAAAAAAATATAGCTAAGGGGTGACGAATAAGATAATCACAATGATTTCTTCATTATATTTTTTTATTTTTAATTATAAAACATTTTGTAGAGGTGTGAAATGAATTATTTTTTTTATTAGATACATAAAAATTAAAAGTATGGCCATAAATAAATTTTATTATAACGGGCTTTGGCTAAAAAATTTTAGACTAATGGGCGGGTTAAGAAATTTTAGACTAATGGCTGGGCTGGTATATTTTTTTAAAACTATGGGCGGGCTAAGCGGGCGGGTTAAATATTTTTTAAAACATTGTGTGGGCGGTATGGGCTAAAAACCTGCCCAATGCAGACCTCTTGTGTTTTTTGTATATTTGTGATGAAATTCGCCATATATATTTGATGAAAACGGGTATAAATTGGATGGGCCTAGCTATAAACCATATATAAGTTTAACAACAAATCAGGATAATTTCTTAAAACTATTAAAGGTTTTGTAATAAACCTTTTTATCAATGTTTTCATTTTCCCTAATGATGTAAAGGGAATTGGCACTATCCCAAAATACTAAAAGGTTTTGTAATATAGGTGTACTAATAGGTGTAAAACATTTTTTTTAATGTCTTACATTTTTAAAAAGCTATTACAACACCTTGCGTTAATAATTTTATATCCAAATAATAGGTAAAAAATATTGGTTATAAACTAAAAATGTTAACTCTTGAGTGGCATACTGTGGAAGGAATTACCTCAGATATTTTAAATTGTTACTTAAAAAACCGCGGATACTTTGATGGGAGTTTTTCGGTATTCTCATATTTTATGCTATTCTATTGAATAGCTTTTAGGATATAATTATTTTAAAAATGCACAAATTATTAACTCTACAGTGAAGAGGGGGATATTTTTCACCAGATGTTAAAACAAAATAAAAGGATACTATTATATTTTTATTTTAATCATACTTAAACATTAATCTATGTTAAAAAAATTTTAAACAACTTTTTTTAAAAAAAAAACTTTTAAAAAAAAACATATTTTTTCACATATCATTTACGTAATTTAATATTTTTGTATATTTAATTTAATATTAATTAATTTTTCAATCTTATAATGTTTAATATAGACCACATTCTTTATAATACATCTCCTTTACTCTCAAGTACTTCTGTAAATTATTCTTTGCCAATCTCAGATGGGAATGATATGGAAAATTATCAATCACAGTCTAATATTTCTGCAAATAATAATTCTTTAGCAACTATTAATGAAAATATAAATCATTCTCAAATATCATCCATTCCTAAACCCAAAAGAACATACAATTGTTGGAACAAAGATAAAATTGAAATGGTAATGAAAATATTAGCAATGCCAGAGGAAGAACAGATGAAGGTTAAGGACATTGCTAAATTTGTTAATATGTCGAAGGCATCAATACATAAAATAAAGCGGGATACATTTCCAGAAATTATTGGTGAGCCCCTAAAGGAATTCTCGCTTAAACAAAGGGGGAGAAAAATTAAAGACACAGCAAATATTGAAAGGCAAATTATGGATTTGCTAATCGACAATAATACCTTCACGGTGAAGGATATAATTGAGAATTTGCCCTCTGGTTCTCCAAAAAATATTGGAACTATAAGGAAATATATTAAAAACATCCGATGGTCCAAAAAAGAGCTGGGAAAGAACCAGATCGCAGGAATACACCAGGAGCTATCAATATTCGACAGGTGTATTGCCGCAAATTGCTGAACATCTCCAGAGAAAGACTCTATTTTCTCGACGAAACAGGCATCAATTTTCATGTTGTACCTGTCTATGCTTGGGCACCACTCAACGTTAGACCATCAATAAAGGTGCCACCCTCAAAAGGGAAAAATGTAAGTGTACTTTGCACTATAGGAATTTGTGGAGTTATACATTATAAAATCATCGAAGGATCATATAATGGTATGTTATTCCGAAATTCATTAATGGATATTATTAGTATATTACCACCAGATGCCATATTAGTTATGGACAATGCGTCAATACATAAAAGTCATCTAATTGATGACTATAAAGAGAGAATTGAATATCTTCCCCCATACTCACCACAATTAAACCCAATTGAAAATTTTTTCGGGGTTTTCAAAAACAAGTACAGGTCATTAATTCCCAGACCAAGTACAAGGGAACATATAATAAATAATATTAATCAAATAATGAATCAATTTATTCCATATGATTTTACAAATTTCTATAATCATATGCAACATTATTTGGAGCTGGGCTATCGTGGACTACCTCTTGACTAAAGTAATCTAATTATATAATAAATTACGATTAACATTTTTTAATATTTATAGGTACTACTTAAGCAAGCAATTTATGACTATGAACTATCATTAAATATTTCATATTTTATTAATTAATATTCATGTATTAGTGTAATTACGAATATATTTCTTATTATATATAATTATATGTATTACATATACGAATTGAATAAAATATTAAATTAAAGTTATGTCTCAAATATGATAAAATAAAGTGAGAGAAAAAAACTATTTTAAGAAATAAAAGATTCTGACTAAGATCTTACAACTTAAATGAATAATTTATCATTATATTTAAAATTATTCTACATAAAATATCGTTAACTAAGTAAAAGAAAATATGTGATGACAAAACTTTTTATATTTTTTTATAAAAATTTTTTTTTATGTAAGTGTGACATTTAAAAAAGTTGTTTAATATTTTTTTAACATAGATTAATGTTTAAGTATGATTAAAATAAAAATATAATAGTATCATTTTATTTTGTTTTAACATCTGGTAAAAAATATCCCCTCTTTCACTGTATTATTTTTTAAAAAAAATGTATTATAATTTGAAAAAGTTTATTTTATATAAATTTCTTTTTTTATTATTATATTTTTTTTTTATAAAATTACTATTACAAATATTTTGAAAAATATTCCCTAAGCCTCGAGATTTCGCTAATAGATGTCCAAACCTTTGTTCCTTCTAAAAACAAAATCTTCAGGCTTGTAAATATTATTCTAGATGAAATATTGAGTTAGCCGTTTTTAAAAATAGGCTCAAAACGCCGTTTAACAACACTTGTCTGGGTCCAAAGAGCAAGGGGGTTATAAAGCTTAGTAAATCTCCTTTTAAGATTTTACTGCATAAGTTGGTGATTTTAGTGAGAATTGAAACTGCAAATCAAGGGATTGGTGATGTCCTATAAGAAAATTGGTCTAATCTCGTCAACTCCATGCGCTGAGTCTTTGGTCTAATCTAGTCAACTCCATGCGCTGAGTCTCGGTGAAAAGATATGATTGCTTTCCTAACTTCTTCTTGTGTGAAGTCTGCAGCACAATGCGTGTAAGGCTGAGTGATTATTAACGTAAGAGTTGAAGTCTGATGTTTTGAGCATAACTTGCTTAAGGTTTCTTCGGAGAAATCAGCAATTGGTCGAGAGCTCCTTTAATGTTAAGAAAATCGATTTTCTTCGAGATCAATGAAGTTTTTTGCTGGAGTGGAGTTACTTTTTTTTGTTTTTTGGATGTGATTATTGGGTATCTTGAAGACGGCTAAGGATGTTTAAACTGGCGTCCTTTATTTGTTGGGTTATGAATTTCTGGACTGATTCGTCCGGTATTTTAAAAGTGTTATATCCGAAATAAGAATTTTAACCATTCTTTTTTATTGTTAAAATATTTTGCAGGGGAGAGGATATGTAGTCACTGAGAGAATGGTGGTTTTATGAATGGGTTGAGAAGTGATCTGGGAGAGAGGTGTAAGTCTTGAATGAGGACACCTGTTGGAGATTGGTTTATGAACATAAAAAACACCTTCATTTGTTAAATGTAAAAGTTTCCGGTAGGAAGGACATATTTTGGGTTCGTGGGAGGTAGTCATTGTTATTATATCATAAATTTAATTTTTTCTTTTGTGTTGAATTATTCAAAAATAAGAAATATGGGGTCGTGAATAAGAAATATGGCGTCGAGAATAGGAAATATGGCATCGGGAATAAGATATGTGGTGTATATATGGCCATATTTTAAAAAAAATGACAGCGATCCTTCGCAGTAAGAAATCACGTAAATCTGCGCGCCGAAAAATGGAAATGTAGCGATCTGTGCAGATTTCCATAAGAAATATGGCGTCGAGAATAAGAAATATATACTTTTTTAGACAATAAAATACATAATAAATCTAATTTCCATTTTATATATTTAAATTTTAAAATATTAAATTAAATCAAATATACAAAGAAATTTGTAAATTAAAATTATATTTTATTTTATTGTTTAATATTTAAAAATTCTGATATAAATTTATATTTTATAAAATTAAAAGTAATATTTTATAACATCCTATAAATTATTATTATTTTTATATATTTAAATATTCACTTAATAAAAATTTTAATGAATGTTTTTTCAAATTATTTTTATAAGGGAATTTTGCTTAATTTCTCACACTCTTTATAAAAATTATCATAAAATATTAAATCTTCAAAATTTTTATGTTCATAATTAACTTATGGTTAATTAAATAAAAAAAATTCAAATATCAAAGCATAATATTAAAATTTTAGTGATATAAGTTATAAAATGATAGTGAGCTATGCCCCCTCCCCACAACTCGAGATACATTTTCACATTACTACTCGAGGGTTAATGAAATTTATAGAAATGATTATTAAATATATATGATATAAATTAACATAAAATATTTTTAATCTTACTAAATTCATATTTAAAACCATTTTTTTAAATAAAATATTTGTTGTTAAATATAGGTATATAATAATTTTCGAGTGAAATTTATGGGATCATTCAAATAAAAGAGCTTATTTGTATCATTCTTTTTGGCTTATTAAACACTATATTAAAATGAATGAAAATATTTGTAAGTAAACCTGGGTTTTGAGATGTTGAATAACCATTTTGATACCGTCATTGACTCCTTTAGCCTTTCCCGACAACATTATTGTCAAGCCATTGTCATTATTGTTTTGTAGTTCGATGTGAATGCCTGGTGAATGTAAATATGTTTAATGTATATCACAAACTCTATATGAGAATAAATTTTTATAAATAACAAATTTCGAATATTAAAAATAGTAGGGCTACAAAAAGTAACGAATGCGCTGTAGTTGGAAAAATAAAAACATCACTTTAAAATGGAGGTAAAAAATTTTTTAACAAAATTAAATCCATTAGTAATCTAATACCAATTCTTTCTATAACTATACAAGAATAATAAGAGTCTTTTCATTCATCTATGATATAATAAACTTTGTTTTTGACAAACATATTTTACTTACAATTTTAAAGATTTACATAAATTTAAATGTTTCATCTATCGACTAATGCTGTAAACAAACGCGTTCAAATAACGCTGATTTTTTAAAAAACACAAGGTAAACGGCGTTCCTGTTATTTTAGACCATTTTGATAGTAAACGTATTGTATATTTTTCGAATAAATCAGCCCGTTCATTTTTTGTGTTGATTCAAATAGTAAAGGTTAAAAAATTTTTTAAATAATGTGATTTTTAAGATATACTCAGCTGTTTCCTTATTATATTCTTCAGCAAACAGGGACAGGCTTCTATTTGTGACTAGTGTACTGTATTTTAAACTTTTTAAATATATTTTGTATCTTCCATCTAAGATACAAAAATATCTGTATCTTAATCAACGTTACATTCAAAAAGATAGATATTTCAAAAAGAATTTATATTATTTAATTTAATCTAATAGCTTTAAATTAAAATAAATAATGTAATCCGTATTATTATCTCGCTTGATTATATTTACCGTGATTATTATGAATGATGATATCGATATAGACGAAGTTAGAGAAGACATAATTATAGAATCCAAAGAATATGAATTACATATAAACAATACAAATATAAGTTAAGTCAATAAAATAGAATATATTTCATACTCATAATTAATGATGTTTCCTAAAGATTACACCAAAGCATGGGTGTTGTAAAGCCCAAAGTACCCCGTTAACCTCCTCATCCGCCTACGACAAAAAGAAGGATGGGAAACCTGGTGAAAACACGATTCATGAAAATGAGAAATATGACGGCCATAAACGACCTGATAATAAGTGGGGAAACCAGTTTACGGGGGGATGTAAAAGTTGCGTCATTGAATTTTGGGAGCATAACGGGAAGAGCGGGAGAAGTGATCAATGCACTGCATAGAAAACATATAGATGTGTGTTGCATACAAGAGACCAGATGGAAAGGTAATGGGGATAGGCAGACAAGTGAAAGTATAAATTTTTCTGGCAAAGAAGTAATGATGGTAAAGCTGGCGTTGGCGTATTGGTTGCTGAGAAATGGGTGGACAAAGTAATCGAAGTGAGAAGACTAGATACCCAGATAATGATTATCAAGATGATTTTTGGTAGATAGCTATGAAATATTATTTCGGTATATGTTTCTCAGGTTGAAGTGAAGAAGAGAAAGATAAATATTTTGGAACAGTCTTATGGAGATGACATCGAGTCTGACAAATAAAGAGGGGATTGTCTTGGCCGGTAATCTGAATGGACATGTGGGAGCGAGTAGCGAGGGTTATGAGCGAGTACATGAGAGAAATCGGGAAAGGGAGAGGATTTTGGATTTTAGTGATGCTGGATATGATTATTTGTAATACAATGTTTAAGAAAGATTCAGAGAAGCTGGTAACTTATAAGTCAGGTAGTGCTAAAGTGCGGTGGATTTTTTGTTAATAAGTAGATGTGAAAGGAGTATAATAAAAAATGCGAAAAGTGATACCGGGAGATGAATGTATTGATCAGCACCGCCTAGTTATAGGAGATCTCACTTTTAAAGGCGCCTGGATCACTAAATGAAAGTTTGTGCCAAGGTTGAAGGTTTGGAATTGAAGAAGAATACTAGACATCAATTTATGACAATTAAAATAAGATGGCACAAGCATCTGGGATAAATGACAACTGAAAAGCAATGAAGGAAGCCTGGGTGAAGACAACTGAAAAGGTATGTGGATGGACAAAAGGGCAGCTAATACATAAGGAAACATGGTAGTGGAATCCCTAAGTAGCGAAAGCTGTGGACGAGAAACAGAAGTGTTTCAAAGAATAGTATAATAATAGTAAAGAAAATAGTGATAATGATATATATAAGGTGGCGAAAAGAAATGCTAAGAAATTAATAGCGAAAGCGCAAGAAGAACAAAGGCATGTATTTGCAAAAGAAATGGGATGCGCGGAAAGAATGGAAAATGTGGTCAGGGTGGCAAAGCAGATGGCAAAAAAGAGGCAGGATGTACGTGTTAAATATTTGAAAAATATGGAAGGAAAAATGGTGATTGATAGTAGTGGTATTAAGAACACCTGGAAGATATATATGGAATGACTTGGAACTAAGAGAATGTGGAATAATGATGTTAGCTGTGCAAAGGTAGGAGGTCGAGGGTGTAAATTTGGCAAGGACGGAATTAAGAGAGCATTGAAAAAGTTGAAAAAATGGAAGGCAGCGGGTTTAACGAGAGTAATATTAGAAATGTTTAAAGGTTCTGATGACTTAGGAATTGAATGCTTAATGAATTTAGCCAAATTGTCATAGAAGGAACTATTCCCGAGGATTGAAGAAGAATTATAATTATTCCAATATACAAGAGGAAAGTTGATCCTTTAGATTGCTGGACTTATAGAGCTATTAAACTCTTGGAACATGCAATGAAGGTATTTGAGAGGGTGTTAGAGAAGCAGATAAGAGAACAAAAGAAAGTTAATAAAATGAAGTTTAGATTTACATCAGAGAAAGGCACGACAGGTGCAACCTTTGTGGTGAGATAAATACAGGAGAAGTAACTTGCGAAGGGAAAGAAACTGTATTTGCCTTTGTTGATTTGGAGAAGGCATTTGACAGGGTGCTGCGAGATTACTATATAGGCCTTGAGAAAATTTAGTGTGGAAAAATGGTTGGTTATGGGACTGATGGCAATGTGCAATGTATGTGGGAGCACAAACTGCGGCTTGGACGGATGATGGAGATAGTGAAAGCTTTGAAGTGAATGTAGGACTTCATCAAGGATCCGTGCTGTCTATTATTATTTATCTTAGTACTGGATGTGGTGGCTTGAGAGATGCGTGAAGGACCTCCCTGGGATTTATTTTATGCAGATGACCTTGTATTAATGGTAAACAGTGAGGAAGAATTGAGGGACAAAATTAGTAAATGAAAGATGGCTATAGACGTAAAGGGCCTGAAAATCAATGCAGTAAAGACAAATGTGATGATTGTTGGGGAAAATCTGATGATGGAGAAATCCGGCTACTGGCTTTGTGGTGTATGTGGGAGAAGTGGAAATGTTTTGCTATTGATGATATGCTAAACGCAGATGTTGGCCCTATATTCTTCTGTTGTTACAAGGTTCAACCAAGCATGGAAGAAGTTAGAGAGATGTTTAATCTAACAAATAAAAACGTCTTAGTTAAAGGGAAAATTTTACTCAAGCTTTGTGAGGAGTTGTTTAGTTTATGGCCGAAACATGGGCAATGAAAGTGGCTCACAAAGCTAAATTAACAGAGATGAGGATGATTAGATGGATGTGTGGGGTATCTCTGAGAGAGAGAGAAAACTAAAAGAATTGAGAGCAAGAATGTGTAAAGAAATGATTGGAATGGTAATACGACTAAGATGGTTTGGGCATGTGGAACAAGAGAAAAAATGACTGGGTAAAGAGATGAACCTCTATGGAAGTAGGAGGATCAAGACCAAAAGGAAGGCCCAAAATGACGTGGATAAAAGTGATAGAGGCGGATATGAGAACAAATACTGATGCTCAGATCTGTTCAAAAAGGAACAGAAAAATCAGAGGGAAAAGTGGCCAACCTTAGTAAACCTGGAAGTTGCCATTAAAAGGAGAAGAAAATGTATGTAACAATGCAAATCGCTCCATTTGAACCAATTTTTCAAAACGACTAACTCAATATTTTAGCCATAAAAATATTGCCTAAGCCTCGAAATTTCGCTAATAGATGTCTAAACCTTTATGCCATGCCATCTATGAGCAAAATCGTCAGGCTTGCGTAATATTTTCTGGATAAAATAAGTTAGCCATTTTTAAAATAGACCATAATGGAACGATTTTGCAATATTCAATGTATGCATCAAAAATTAAAAAGATTAGTATATGAATATAAAATTAGGTATGATATCGGATCGATAATCGGCCGATATCAAATTAATATTGGCAATATCGTATCGAACCGGCCCATAAAAGTGGTATCGGTACACCCCTATATATCATCAGTTAAACAAATGTAAAATATCATTTTTTATATTTTATATATAATATAACAAACCGGTTTTGTTCATAATGTCAACGCATATATCATTTTGATCGCCCAAATGGCCCTGAAATAGGGAAGGCTTAAAACGTCTTTCTTCGTAACTGATATGTACAACCTGATGTATTGATTAATTAAATTATAGAATAAATTATTTAGTTTTTTTTTAAAAAATAATCTATATGGCTGGGGCATAAATTTTTTAAAATAATTTTCATATTTTATATTTTTTATATCATCAGGAAAATGACTAAATACAATAGATCTAACATCGGATAGGCTTGATATTCGTTAGGAAATTCTGATGATGATAATAATAATGCAATCTCAAATGATTAAAATTTAAAACCAGATGTAAGATCTAATTAATAATGTTTTGCAAAGAATTGGAAAGCATTGTCTCAAACTATGAATCGAATGGATCTCGTATTTGTATTAATTTTTCTATCAAAATTTAAGGATAGTTGAAATGTTATCTTTGCAAAATGAATGTATATTAAACTTGATATTACTTTTTAGATGTAAAATAGAAATGAATTTAATAGTAAAAGATAATGATAGCTTGAAAATTATTTCAACAAGAAAAATACGTTTAAAAATACTTGCGTTGCGATTTCCTGCTTGGAATCTACGAGTAATATTAAAGTATTTTAAAACAATTTAATTTTTATCTCATAAATTATCTAGTTGTTGGCTTCTCTTCTAGACCCAAGATTTCAAAAATTAAAAATGTGCCAAAATATATAATAGGGCAGATTGCATATCGTCTGAATTTATTATTAAATATCTTACAGTTATAGAGTATGATATTAGATTACTAAATATCAAATACAAATTATTTGACAAGGTAAGCAAGTAAACACTCTATAACAAGCATAAATTCTGATTCTACTATAAATGACTTAAAATGAAAATGCCATATTCTTCTGGAAAAAAAGAATCGATTACGAATTCTTTTGTGGTAACTAGAACACCTAGAAAAGGGTTTTCTCTCCATTGTAATTGAATTTAAGATCATTTATATATTTGGCAAATTTAAATAAAAATTTTATAAATGATAATTATAAAATTACAAATTGTGCATGAATTTAATTATTTTCCATTTCAATAAAGATCAAAAAGGTGGCAATAAATCTGTAGTGTATATTTTATTTTAAATTTAGTTTTTAATTAAAAAATTCATTTAGAGATTAAAAAAATATATTATAAAGTATTCATGTCGATGCGCCGATTATCTCGCCTATGTTGACGACCGCTACAAAGAGGCGCGCCACCGGGCACCAATTAGATTTGTAAAACTCGCGCGGCCGCTGATAGTTCGTCGGCGCACAGGTCTGATTATAGGCTATTCAGGAAAATAAAGGTATTATGTTTAAATTATTCCTAAAATATATTTGAAGATATCAATTTATAAGTCAAGATTAGATTTAGTTATTAATATTGCCCAGTTTGACCTTATTAATTTGACCCAGCATGGAATAATAAAAATTTTAATGATTTTACGACCCAGCACTTTAAAAAATTTCCTTATTTCAAATAATTTTGGGTAAATTATTTTTCGAAATTGAAAATATGTAAACGGATGTTTATTAATTCTTATACGATTTTCCAACTGGTTAATTTTTATTATTTTTTAAAAATCGGACTATCTCGGGCTTTGTAATCTTCTTATTTTTATGGCCGGCTCAAGTTTGCAATTTTGTATTTATAAACTATGTCGTTAGGTGTCAGGTATTGAGATTCCACCATGAAATGTATTATAAGGTTAAAAAAAGAAGAGATAATTAGAATTTTTTGGCCAAAAAAACCTTCTATATTAAAAACTGACAAGTATGAGGTAAAGATAACCTTTGATGTGTTAGTGGGTCTGACAGCCATGCTATTTCTCCAACCCATATGCATAACATCCCCTATATGACACTCTCGCGTTCCACTCCCAAAGAGACTCGGAAAATCACTATCGTTTGTCAACAAAAAATGATCTCGACCAGTTTCATTAACATCTTCGACCTGTATAATTTCTTCGACCTTCTCCCCTTCTGACATGTCAGAACACTCCTCAACTAAAATAGCATGCCCATTATGATACACCAAACCAGTATGAGTTTCAGTTACTATATCCGATTCGTAAACCGATTCCACAGGTATTTTGTGATTCGGATCTGAGATGGATTCAGTCGTTGGTGTCGGTTTTCGCACGGCCAAATTTTGTAAGGCCCTTAAAATGTCGGGTGAAGGTGGTAGGCCAGAATAAAAGGTGGAAGAAGAAGGCGTATCTAAACAGCCGTTGCCATAATATTGGTGATCCGTGGCCGGTGATTGCATAGGGTACATTAGATGGATGGAATAAGAATTTTACCGTTATCGGATATAATAAGAGATAAATTTGTGAAGTTAAATTAGAGTATATGTTCTGAGCTTGAATTGTGTGATCTTTTTTATATAGTTAGTCACTATTTTTGCAAGTTATATATGAGTAATTAATAAGCTAAGGAAATTTAAGGAGCCACTTATTTATATGATTAACTCTTCTACCTTCAGAGTCCTAAAATTTAAAAAAATAATTAATTACATATAAATGAAAGTTTAAATTATCTGAATGATTGTCATTTTTCTCTTCAATAATTATTATTATTTATTACTATAGACTGGTCAGTCATTATTGATTTGGCAAAAATAAAGATTTTAAAAACCTTCCATCTTTGAATGGCCAAGAATTAAACATATATTATTTATACCTATGAATTTAACATTATTGTAGCATTATTGAAAAAATATTTTATTATAAGAATGGTTCATAATTGATTAATTTAAAAAATAAGTTTAGAAATATTAATAATATTTTATCACCTTTATCTAAAAATCGTTTGTAAAAAATTTTGTTGCAAAATAAAACATAAAACCCATTTTCATATTTTTTTTTTAGCTAAAAGATGTAAATCTAATTTATACAAATAATTTTTAGATAAAGATGCTATAAATTGTTATTAATCTTTCTAAATTTATTTTTAAAATAATCGAATAGTGGGCTCTAAAAGACTTTGTGATCATTTAAAGATAGAAGACTTTCTTTTACCTCATTCTTTTTGGCGTGTCAAGCACTATATATATAATAAAGGTATGAATATTACTATGGCAAAATTTGTGAATCAATTTATTGATTTAAATCGCGGTTGTAAGTAATAAGTTAATGCTTCCGGTGATCCGGTCAGGAAATTAATGAAAACATATATATTAATAAGTAATGAGAGATCAAAAATTTGATATGTGTAAACTGTATAAAAATAATTTAACTAGTCAATATCAATGAGTAGGAAAAAATCATTCATTTTCTAAAACGAACTGTTATTTCTCAATTGGATTCCCTGATGCATTCGCCAAATTAAAATATTAGTTATTAATATCCTTAATTTAAAATAATCATGATTATTAGGTATGTGGCATTTTTAGTATGCCGTCACAATTAATATATTTAAAACTTTGGCTCTCCTCCATTTTTCTGATAGCGGCTTGTTTTTAAATTATTTTATAAATATAGTTTAATTAACATTTTTTCTGAGGATACCAATCAAATAAAGAATCTAATCATTTTAAAATGTTTGGTTATTACTAATGCTGTAAACATTTCTAAAAAAATCGAACGTGTTCACGTTCGTTCAAAAAAAAGGAACGCGTTCACGTTCATAAAACCGTTCAAAATTTTATGATAAATTTTTTTAAATTTAATTTAATATAAATAAACTTATATTTTTTAATACAATATATTTTCATGTTAAAAAATAATATAGTTTTATTTTGATAATATAATTATAAATAAAATGAATATAATATAATATAATATAGCGAATAAAAAGATATTTTTATTTATAAAAAAATTTTCTTATTAAATTATAATTAGTGAAGGTCAACGGTCCGGTCCTATCGGTCTTAGACCGGGATCGGACCGGACCGATTGTTGGACCGATCTTTTTCTTGAGGACCGTGGTCCGGACCGGTCTTTTTATTTTTTACGATCCAGACCGCGGTCCGAACCGGTCTTTTATTATTGTTTAAGTTTGCTTTACTATACAATTAATATAATTTTTTTGTATATTTTATTTTATGATATTTTTCTAGAGGAGTCATTTTAGATTTTGTTAATTTTTATTTTACAATATGAAAACCATAAGTTTGTCCAAGAAACATTTTACTTATAGTCCCAATAAAAACATAGAGTATGTGTTCATTGCAGTACCAAATTTAATGTATCGTCAGCACCTAGTAACAAAATAATTGTTTATAATTTTTTAAGCAATAAATTAATCAAAATAAGCAATAATATTATTAAAATATTTTAGTTATTATCTAGTTCTATTTTTTTTAAAGAAACTGTCTGTATAATTTATTGTAAAAATTACTTAACCTTTTAAATATAAGAGTATTATATAAACAATAAAATTTATCCAATGGTATTGAAGAAAATGATTTTGTGCTTGTAGAGGGCATATAAAAATTAAGAGTAGATTGTGTTTTTTGAGATATTTTCATTTTCATCATTAGAAGTATATATTTTATGTTTTATCAGATGTCTGCTTAAGGTACCTAATTATTTTATTAATAAAATGATAAAACAAATCAAATTAGGTTAAAAAATATGTTTTTTAAACAAATAAAAAGACCGATCCAGGACCGGTCTTTTTATTTAGGACCACTCTGGATCGATTTTTTTCTTAAGGACCGTGGTCCGGTCCGAGGGTATCGGTCCAGTCCGGACCAAAGACCGGACCGTGACCTTCACTAATTATAATAACAACTGTTTTCAAAATATTTATCTGACAGACAGGAACACTTGGCAGTTAATACGGCATTAGCCTAAAAACACGCTCTACAGGGGAAGATGAGGGGATTGCGGTATTATACTTAATAAACAACTCTTTTAACGTGGAGAATTAATTAAAAACATATTGTTTTGTTATTTGCAAAAAATTGAGATAAGTTATCTTCTTCCAATCCATTCTCTACTCTCGACATAAAAAAGGATATCTCGAAATTAACAATTCTCTAGGGTTTTCAAAGCATTTCAAAAACGCTATAAGTTTTCTTAATAGGTTCGTTCTGTGGAAGTTATATCCATGACCATTGAAGTTTGAATGCTGGATGTATAATTGCAGAAAGAACATATTGATCCTTATATATATGTTCAAATCTTTAAAAAAATAAAATATATGTAATTAATTGAGAGTAATAAGTTTAATACCTTTTATTCCCATTTAATACGGCGTCTATCAATGGTTGACCATATTTGAGGCCACTAATTTTTTTAATTTTAAAATAACTATCGTTATTGTTGGGGTCAAATATCCCAAATGCATTATTTCTTCAAATTTAATGATTTAACTTAATTATATCATATAAAATCAAATAATTAATATTAAAATAAAATAAAATGTCGTTTTAAATTGGAACCTGAAGATTTTGACAATATAATACTTTTTGGCAATATTTTACACTTCGTAAGCATTGGATTAGTTCCTTCAATATAGAATGTTAATGTAAAACATTTATCATATTTGGCCATAGTAATGCTAATTCATCTGATTTTGGATTTTCAGAATCAGATGATGAGGATTAAATAATAATATCCATGCTTATGCAAATCTATTAAATTAAAATATAAACAATAATATTCAAATTAATAAACTATGTGTTAAAAAAATTGAAATATGAAAAGGAAATACACAGCCAATTAAAAAATATAAATAATACATTTTTTTAAAAAAATCGGAAATATTAAATTTTTCAAATAAATAAAAAATAAAAATATTTTTAAAATTGAACGAACGTAAAATTCGAACGCGTTCGTCATAAAAAAGGAACGCGTTCACGTTCTTCGTCAAAAATAAAAGGAACGTCGTTCATCATTTTTTCAAAAAAAACGAACTTCGTTCACGAACGCGTTCATTTTGAACGAGTTCGTTTACAACACTAGTTATCTATTACTATAAAAAATTTTTAAAAAAAATAGATTAGTTTATTATTTAATTATTATTATATGGTTGTTTTTATAACCCGCCATCCTGAAAATAACATTATTATAATTTACAATCATGGTAAAATTCCAAGATACATCTGATCTGTTTAATAAAATTATGCTTTCGGGTAAAATAATAAAAAAAGAGTGATGGTTAGCCGGACCATTTAATTCATAGTAAAACAATCAACAACTTCAGTAGAGTATTTTAATCATATTAAGTGATTCCAAACTTAGGAATGGTTTAAAAAACTTGCTTTTAAACGATTAAATTCAAATATCAATATCGAGTGCATGAAAAGTTGCAATGCACTGTCAAAGATAAGCATAAAAAATCGATTTTTCATTTTAACATCTAGAATATCATAATTCTCTAATAAAATTTTTTAAAAAAAATAGAATATTATTTTTTAAATGTGCATTATTCTAATTATAATGGTAAAATTATTTTTTTGGTAATGCCAAATATAGTAAAATGAATTTTAAAAAAACTAATGTTCAAGTCTTTATTTTTCTAGACTGCAAAGCCAGGACAGGGTCCAGATTCCACTGAACCAAAATATATTTAAAAGGGGGGGGGGGGGTTCACAGCCCTGAATTTAACAAATTTATTTCTTTTAGAATATTAAATAATTTCTCACTACATTGAGATTAGAATTATGTAATTAGCAATTAATAATGTCAAAAATTGAAACAATAAAATACAAAATAATCGAGTATTTTTTATATCTAATAGGTAGTGTTGTTAAACGGCTCATTTTGAGCCTATTTTATAAAACGGCTAACTCAATATTTTAGCCAGAAAAAAATTGCCTAAACCTCGATAATTTGATAATATATGTCTAGACCTTTATTCCCTCTATGAGCAAAATCTTCAGGCTTGCGTAATACTTTTCTGGATGAAATATGAATTAGCCCTTTTTAAAAATCGGCTCAAAACGAGCGGTTTAACAACACTACTAATAAGTAATGATTAGTAGTACAATTTAGTATTTTTCATATAAAAATTATTTATTCTAAAATAATCAAAGTCTTTGTCTTTCCTTATTAAGTATTTTGATCAAATTTAAGAAATAGAATTTTATTAAAAATATTAATTTAAATCAAATTATTTTTATTGGTTTTCTCTCATAATTTAAAACACAATAAAAATATTATGGATTTTGGGAGTTAAATATGAATATTAAAATAGTTAGATATCAGTAGTATCAAAATTTAAAATAAATGAAACTTTAAATTTTATTTTATAAGAGCTAGTGCTAGATTTTCCTGCAGGCCAGCTGTAACTTCGCCCATAAAATATAGATCTGGCCCGTTCCTTGAAAAATAAGAATTTATATTTCCATTCTATTCTTTATTTTTTGCCAATTTTAATATAAAAAAATAGAAAGGTTTTTTAAAAAAAAATTAGATGGGAAATATTCACTAATCATATTTTGTAATAAATGGAATAAAATAGATAAATACTATTAAATTATCAAAGTTTGCGCTTAATACTTAAATTTATTGCATAACATTAATATATAGAATATAATAAATATTTTGAGTTTTCTTCTCTATATGTGGTTTATAGTAATGTCGGGTAAGTGAAA